TTGGGGGGGGGAAGGCAGTCATCAGTTGTCATTTCTTAGGACGAGTGTGTCTTCGGGGCCATGTTCCAAGTCGGTGGTCAGTGTGGACCGCCCTCCGCGGTGGTCATCAGTGGAAACTGGCTGGACTTGCTCCCCAGGTCCAGTGTTCAGTGACTGAGGGGCCTCCTGGGCCCTTGTGGTGTGGGCCAATGTAGTCCTTGTTCTGCTTTGGGAGAGAGAAGCTCACTTCCACAGTCTGTCTTCTTGATGCCTCGTCTGGAATCCTGAGCCCAGTGTTTCTGGTCTGCCCAGACCCCAACGACCCTCCTGCCTTTTCATCTCCTTGGAGATGAGGCTGCCTGATCACTCCATGCCCCCACCACGATCAAAACCAGAATGGCGAAAAGCCGGCTGGCTTCAATTAATTTCGTTGCAGTCAGTAACTCGGAACAAACTTGTTGTTGGCTCTGGCTCTGCAAAGGACAAAAACAGCAAACATCATGGAGACAAAACAGTGTTCTCTCCAGATTGCAAACTCTAAGCGGACACGACCTTGTGGGGGAAGAACCCAGCCCGCTCCCCAGAGGATCGTAGAAGCTGTTGTACTAGAACAGTTTCATTGTTTCTTCTGATAACCAGCAGGCAGTGAGAGAGGACAGAGTGGACCGGGGAGCTGGAATCACAGCTCTGAGCTCAAACTGCTGTCTCAGGACCGGACTACGGCCAGACACGTGCTCTCTGTCGCCAACCACACTCACTTGCACACACGTTCTACTTGGAAAAGTCTGGCGCCCATCTTCCCTGCAAGTGATTTACAGACCGGGAGGACGGGCTGACAGACAGACGGGCCCGCTGTCTACCTGTCTGTCTCTCCCACCTGCACTAAGGTAGGAGAGCCACTGGGCAGAACGGAGGTGCTGTGCACACCATGGCCCCCTATGTGAAGTGAGGATCCTACTCATTCCCACAAGCTTTCGGGAAGTGGGAAGGATTGTTCAAACTGGAGAACCTGAGCCCATCTCTAGTGAACTGGGTCACAGAGCTCTTAGCAACACTGTCTTGGATAAGGAGTCCCTGTGTGGCATAAGCTTGGCTGCGGACCAGAAGGTTGGAGGTTCAGGCCCACCCAGAAGGAAGGCCTGGCTGTGTGCCCTGTGGAGCACAGTTCTACTCTGACACACACATGGGGTCGCCATGAGTGGAGTCAACTCAGTGACCACTGGGGAAACAGAATGGATCAAGAATACTACAGTCCACCTGTGCAAGTCAGGACCCGAGGAGGCTAGAACCTGTCAGAGCAGGAAACGCACATATTTTCCACTAAGTCTCGCAGCTGCACCCTGTCAAAGGTGGAACACTTGAGTAACCAGGAAGAACAAGGTGGTTCTGATGAGTCCGGCCTCTCACGGGATGTTTTCTTGCCAATCCCAGAAGGGGAAAAAAAGCGCTTATCCCCAATCTTACCAGGCGTTTCTCTCATCCTTGGCAATTCAGTAAGGCAGTGACACACCCACAACCACAAAGTTCTTAGCTCCACTGTCAGTGCGTCCTGAAAATGCAGGGTGGGGCACAAAATGCAAATGTCATCTGAGCTCCTTTGGGGACAGATGACAAGTATGTGGCACTCGGTCTGTAAACTAAAGGTGTTAAGTGTCAGAAGATACAAGTGTGTGTGGTTGGTTTTAGTCAACTGAACAAAATAGGAAGGTTGAGCGCCTGCTGTAAGGTCAGTTCTTCCTCTGACCCGGGCACTGACCAGGCCTGGCACCGTGGGCGGAACCATGAAAACGCGGCTCCTCTAACACTTGTTGTTAAGTGCCATCCAGTCAGGCATCCCTGGGTAGCGTTACCCAGTGACCATCATCTTCCCGTGTGGCATGGCGCTGACAGCTTGCTGACCCCTGAGCTCCAGCTGAGCCACTGCACTGGCTCCATCGGTAGATGCTCCCCGTTTCTGCTCCACAGTCTCGAGCATCAGGGAATCGACAAAGTGCGTACAGAAAACGCCACAGGGCTTCAGAAGTCCAC